CGGGGCGGAAAAAAAACCCAGCCCCCTTAATTAAGGAATATACCTTAAATTATAATAGGATCCCTAATATGATTTAAGGTATATTCCTCAATTAAGGGATATTGGAGTCTCTGGGTAGCACACAAAAGGGTAAGACGCGCGAGGACAGAAAAGAGCCAAGGATCTGGCCTTTGGCCTGCGACGTTCCCTGAGGAGTATGCGTGGGATCGATCTCACCTCACGATCCAAATCGAGTTTAGGGTTTAGGGTTTAGGGTTTAAGGATGTTCCTGTCACAGAGTGAACCGCGTCTGTAACACTTCAGCTACTAGTACGTTGTTCCTGGCAGCACTGGCCGACACTGGCGTAAACAGCATCTCATCCAACAGCGTCACCGCCCACGGCCCCAGTCAACCCCACCTGCCTACAGGAGTGTAGCCCTCGACTGGGTACTCCATGGGGCCATCAAATCTCGCTGCAGCCATGAAGCCCTGGCAGCGCTCAGTTTGGGATAGGGTTTAAGGAACCACATTTAAGAAACTTCTCTCCGAACATCAACTAGACAAGAACATGTCCCCAAAGTATTTGGGCCCTAGGCTCCTGCAATCCATCCGCATGCAACGCATCGTCAGGCAAGATGTTGAGAAGAGGCAGAAAGTAAGAAAAACTCCCTAAACCCTAAACCCTAAACCCTAAACCTTCAACCCTAAACCCTAAACCCGCACTTCAGGCTGCCTTTCCACAGATGTGGGGCTTGAGGCCTATCCGCTGCATGTCAGGGGGCAACCTGCCGGCAAGGATGGAAGGTTTAGGGTTTAGGGTTTAGGGTTTAGGGTTGTCAGGGGGCAACCTGCCGGCAAGGATGGCAGCACATTCAAAAAGCCCCCCCCTTAGCGCGTCGCGGGTGCAAAAACCCAGAGAACCCAATACCCCTTAATTAAGGAATATACCTTAAATCATAATATTCATGCCCCTATAGTTTTAAGGTATATTCCTTAATAAATGCTAAACCCTAAACCCTAAACCCTAAACCCTGGCCCTAAACCCTAAACCCTAAACCCTAAACCCTAATTATGGGG